TAGGGTTTAGGGTTTAGGGCAGAGCATCCGGAGACTTTAGAGGCTTTCGGGCCCTAGGGTTTAGGGCTTGGGGTTTGGATCCCGACTGCTGGGTAGGATTCTGAATTTTTGGCTTCTGAGCACTAAACCTTAAACCTTCAATCCCAAACTCCAAAATGCAACCTAAGCCCTAAACCTCGGGTCACACACCTCCATGAGGTAGCTGATGTTGGCTGTGAAGGAGAAGTAGCCACCGAAGATGAAGCTTTCCTTATTCAGGGAAAGATGGGGGTTCGGGGTTTTGGGCTTAGAACTGACGGCTTTGTGTTAAGGGGCCGTTTCCGGCTTCGGGTTCAGGGTTTGCACTTTATGACCCCGAAACCCCAGAGCCTTAGACCAGAGCCCCTCTAGAATCCCCGGACCCGCACCCGGTGGTCGATTCTTCGGCTCTCGGGTGTGGAGCGGTACGGTTGTGGGGTTTAGGGTTTAGGGTTTAGGCTTTAGGGTTTAGGGTTTGGGGTTTAGGGCTTGGGGCTTAGGGTTGAGGGTCCCTGGTTCCTGAGGCTCCCGGACAAAAGCCTAAAAAGGTGAAACAGCAGAGTGCTATCTGGATCGCAACGGTCTGGCTCATGGCTGTCTGTTGGCCAATGTTGAAGCTCCCGCAGACTGCCTTGTTTTTCGAGTTGTCAGTATCCTAGCGGCAGAAGAAGCCAGTCACGAGAGTACGCATGTGAGTTTCTCGAGGGCAAGTACGCCCGACCAAGGATGAGTATAAACCCTAAACTCTAAACTCTAAACCCAAGTTCATCCGAACCCCACCCTTTTGAGTGCGTGCGCTTCCTTCTTTGCGGAGATGTCAACTGCGACCCATACTCAGAGACTCCGCGTCCTGTGGGACCGCTGGGCTTTTCCTACTCCCGCAGCCAAGGTGTCGGCCAGGAGCAAGATCAGCAAATGTGGGTCCAGAATCTGGGAGATATCGCTCAGGTAGCTCCGCACCTTGCATAAGAAAGACCAATGGTGCATCGAAATCGGAAGAACCCGTCACGCAGAAATCGAGCATGATACGTTCATTCAAGGAATGCAGCCGGAATCCCACGCGGAAGTCATGGCCAAATCTCGGCGAAGCCGCTAAAGTGATAGATAAGTTCTCACGTAGTAGATAGTCATATGGCAATGTGGCAAATTGAAACAGATGCGTCAGAAAAAACACAGGTGGACACACATAGAGCACGCGAGAGAGGCAGAGAGGCTGAGAGAACATGTGGGCCGCAGACTCTGCTGGGCAACATCAGCGCAGGTTGCGGGTCTCTTTTAGATTGTCATGCTGCGACTGGGAGTACTCCTGAAAGTCTGCCCAAATGGGAGTTTCCGAAAATAAGGGGTACCTTATTTTGGGGTCCTTATAATAAGGATCCTACTATTTCGGGTACTATATCAGAGCCCTATTTTCGGAAACCCCCAAATCCTGACCCCTACACCCCAACGGCCTCGATATCAGGGGCGCTTTCCTGCGCAGGGCACGAACCTCAATGCTCCCCAAAGACTGAGTAGCGGTTGTCCTCAAAGCTTCAACCCCAAACGCTTCAACCCCAAACGCCTTCCAACTCTTTCAGAACTAATGTAGGGGCATAAGAATTAGAATAGGGTGTGGTGGGTTCCTTACTATAATTATAGTATCATATACCCCAACCCCTATCCTAATATTTAAATTATTAAGGTCCCTACATTATCTTGGGTTTTGTGGGTTCCTTATTATAATTATAGTATCATTTTCTCCAAACCCTATTCTCATTATTAAGGCCCCTATACATTATCTTGAAAGGCCCGAGGCTCGTTATGTCACACATGCTGCAGGCCGGGGCTGTGGGGTTTAGGATTTGCTTCAGGGTTCTGGGTTTTGGGCTCTTTCTAGCTGGGTTTAGGGTTTAGGGTTTAGGGCTCCTTCTAGTAGGGGTTTAGGGTTTTGGGCTCCTTCTAGTAGGGTTTAGGGTTTAGGGTTTAGGATTTTGGGCTCCTTCTATCTTGAAGGTTTAGGGTTCAGGACCTCGGGCGTTTGGGCATTTGGGTTCAGAGTTTAGGGTTTAGGGCCAAATAATGGAACCGTCATCGCTCATGGTGAGGCCATCCAGCAGTAAGTTTTTTTTAAAGGTCCGGACGGAAAAGACCCCGATTCGAAGCCACGGTCTGAACTCCTAAGTCGTGAACCATCTCTGCATCGCTAAGCCCCAACTCTAGAACCTTGCAATGCTAGATCCTTCAAACTCCTTCAAAGCTACATCCTTAAAACTCCTTAAAAGCCCCTAAACCCTGAACCCTAAACCCTAAAACCCTAAACCCTAAACCCTAAACCCTAAACCCTAAACCCTAAACCCTGAACCCTAAACCCTAAAACTCCTTAAATTCCTTAGCACCCGGAAGGCCTAAGCCCACCGCCCCCTGAGTTCCAAGACTCTCGAGTCCTCCACCGCGAAGACAGCGTAGAGGAACAGCAAAGCCCACACCTGATCGGCGAGTCGGTGGGTGATGTAGGGGCCTTAATAACTAGAATAGGGTCTTGGGGTATATCATACTATAGTCATGAAATAAACATGGAGCCCCCGAAGTAGTAGTATTGGTCATTATAAAAAGCCCCTATGTTATGGGCTAGGACGGCGGGCTTCGGACTTCAAGAGCCCCACGATCTCCACGCGAAGAACAGTCGATCACTTTTGGCGTTACACTTTAGATTCAGTAGGGTTTAGGGTTTAGGGTTTAGGGTTTAGGGTTTAGGGTTTAGGGTTTAGGGTTTAGGTACACTTTAGATTCAGATATGTTCCTGATAACCCCGTTGATCTAAGGGCTTTAGGAGGGACCCTTAATAGGGACCCTTGTATGTTATTGGGGTTAATATGGTCCCTATTAGAGGTCCCTCCTAAAGTCCTTATAGTTGAACAAACTCCGAACCTTAGGGGCTAAGGGCCTACAGAGGCAGACCTTTTTGGGGGGCTGAGGGCTACGAGTCCTTGCAGGAGAAGGGGCCACTGCTAAGCCAAAGAAGGTGACACGCCAGCTGAAGAATTCGGCGCAAAGCCCGCCCACAAACCTGGTGCAGGCTTGAACATGCACCCAGAAGAAATTCTTCGAATCGAGGCCTGCTGTCTTTATGGTCGAAATATATGTCCTTCAGGTGTGGAGCTATGCCTGACAAGACACGGAGCGAGGGCGATGCCGACGAAGGACAGCATCTTCATGGCCGCCACCATCAGGAAGCCTTTTGGATCCAGGCTTCGGGCTAGAGATCCTGATGCTTCTTCTGTGAAATAGCTGCCAGACGCTGCCGCCATGGCTACGGTGGTTACAGTAGCATGGCTACTGAGCTGAAGGCAAGTGGTTCTCTCAGTTTCATCGTCATATCCAACATTTGCACCTGAAGCTTCTGCGACCCAAGATCCCAAAAAGCAAAGCAAGGCGATCCACGTGCGGTCTTGGGTTTGTTCAATGCTTCGGATTGCAAGTTAGGGGTTTAGGGCTGAGGGTTAGGGATGTAGGGTTTACGGCTTAGGGCTTTGGGCTGAGGGCTTAGGGGTTACGGGGAGCTTAAGCCCGGGAATGTGACTGGCTGGGGTCTTCGGGGACTGATCACACGACGCGCGCACCATAAGCTTACACTCTAAAGCGCATGAATCCTAACACTGATTCCCTAAACCCTAAACCCTAAACCCTAACACTAGACCCAAAACCTTAAACCTAAACCCCTATAAGCTATAACCATCAGAGTGTCCGGTTAGGGAGGATGTACATCGCAGGCGCATGACACGTAGGCAAAGCGTGCGGCCTTCCTGCAAAACATCTGCAGGATCTTGCTCTTCAGAATCTTCTCATCTAGCATATGGGTAGTTCTCTAAATTAGGGTCCCTTTTGGGATCCTTTTTATAAGGGTGCCGTACTATAGTGGGGGTCTAAAAAGGGACCCTAATTTAGAGAACTACCCATATTGAAGTCCCTGAATTCCTGAAGCTCCCGATCCCCAAACCAGTTTTGCAACCCGTATAGTAACGTTTAGGGTTTAGGGTTTAGGGTTTAGGGTTTAGGGTTTATAGTAACTCTGGGTAACTTGTAACCCCTACGGCTGATGGACAAAATCCTGCATGACCTTATATACCTAAACTATGGGATTTATGGTACTATACTATATTTTGGGCCATGCAGAATTTTGTCCATCAACAGTAGTAGTAACTCGTAGCACGGCAACCCCTACAGTAGCCCTAACAATAAGCCCGATAGAAACCCTTTGTGCACTGCTTTCTCGGCTCTTGGTAGGGACCACCACAATGGGGATCTGTTCGTATAGTTAACCATATGCTTTCCCTACCATGATAACTAAGATAATATAGGGTCCTTGATAACTAGAATAGGGTTTTGGAGCCCAATATACTGGAATTACAATCAGGAACCCCCAAAATAGTATAGGCAGTCTAGGTAATTAATTATTCAAGCCCCTATGTTAGTGAGTTCCTTAGCAACCTAAAACACTAAACCCAACCCTAAAACCCTAAACCCTAAACCCCTAAACCCCTAAACCCTAAACCCTAAACCCTAATTATTCAGGCCCCTATGTTGCTTAGTTCCTTAGCAACAACCCAGCTTCTCATCCGAGGGGCGCTCCTCCCTCTGCGGGAAGAAGTCCCTGGCCATGGCAAAGACGACGGGCTCCACGCTCTCGCCCATGCCCTCTGGGCTTTGGGGTTTAGGGTTTCGGG